AATTCCTGCCTATACAGCCAATCGACTCCAACGATGGGCACTCACCTTGCTGGGCTATGATTTTGAAATCCGTTATCAGTCAACGAATTCGCTGGGCCAAGCAGATGCGTTGTCACGCCTCATTGATTCCCAGCAGCAAGAACACGAGGACACCATCATTGCCTCAGTTGAGATCGAACCTGATGTCAAATTCCTGGTGAACGAGGCACTACATGGTATGCCAGTTACGGCCGATGCTGTGCGGGCCGAAACGCTTCGAGACCCAATCCTGAAGAAGGTGACACACTTCCACAGAACCAGCTGGCCACGTTCGTGTTCATCTGCCGAAATGCAGCAGTTCTATCAGCGAAGACATTCGCTTTCCATTGTGGACGATTGCATCATGTTCTCAGACAGAGTAGTCATCCCGCAGGCGTTGCAACAAAGAGTGCTGCGACAGTTCCATGCAGGACATCCAGGGCTCAACCGAATGAAAGCGCTTGCCAGAAGTTATGTGTATTGGCCGTTTATGGACAGGCAGCTGGAGCAGCTAGCTAAAAGTTGTGGCAACTGCGCTACCGCCTCAAGGGCACCGCCGAAGACTGAACTCCGCTCATGGCCTAAACCAACTAAACCTTGGAGTCGTGTTCATGTCGACTTTGCAGGCCCAATCAATGGCCAGAGCTTTCTCATAGTGGTCGACGCTTATAGCAAGTGGCCCGAAGTGTTCCTCATGAGAAGCACGAAAACCAGCGCAACCGTCTCTAGGTTGCGACAAATCTTCAGCAGGTTCGGCTGCCCTGAAACATTGGTGACGGACAATGGAGCACAGTTTACTTCGGCCACATTCACGGAATTCTGCCAACGTTGCGCCATCAAACACGTGCGGTCTCCACCATTCCACCCACAATCGAATGGCCAAGCGGAGAGGTTTGTGGATACATTCAAACGCGCTCTCCTCAAATCAAGGAGGGAGGGAGACATAGAGGAGGTGATCGACCGCTTCCTATTTCTGTATCGATCTACACAAAATTTACAAACACCGGGTGGAATATCACCAGCAGAGGCAATGATGAAGAGAAAACTTCGCATGCCATATGATGCAGTTCGGCCATCCTCAGAGTCCATAGCTGGTGAAAGGAACCTAAAGATGGAACGTGATTTTAATCGGCGGTTTGGTGCCAAGCAACGTTCGTTTAGACCGGGTCAGCCAGTACTTGTGCGTGATTATCGGGGTGGACACGCGAAATGGACGCCAGGCACGATCCAGCGCAAGCGCGGAAGCGTCATTTACGACGTGCTGGTTGGAACGCAGGTATGGGTACGCCATGCAAACCAACTGCGAACAACAATGTGTCAGCCACAAGCAACAGAATCCGCCAAGCTTCCATTTGACCTGTTGACAGACAGCTTCAACTTGCCTACAGAGCCAGTAGAAGAACCCTGTCATCAGACGAATGGTACCAGACCGCAGAGCACGGAATCCGAATCCAGAACACTACAGCCAAGGCGATGCACCGGTAGGCGAAGAATCCCTTCCAGGAGGCTTCAGGTTAATCCCCGGCTAGCATCATACACAACGGCAGCAGCTTCAGGAGGGGAGGTATCCGGGAATCAGATAAAAACATAAAAGAAAAAAGGGAAAGTATATAATGGTGATTGAAAGCTGGGCTGAAGGGAATCGCCTACCCCGTGCGGTCGATCAGGCAATCGATCGAGCGGACGAATGCGTTTTCAAACACCCGGCTAATTGGACTTTTGCCTCAGAGTTGAGAGGGCAGTGTTTTCGGCGGCATTATCTGGCTACGTTGGCAGAGTTTTTGTTAACACGTTTTTCGTGGTCAAGACTGTTGGAATTTTGATTTTTCTTCGGCTGGGCTAGAATTTTTGCGGAGAAATTTTTGGGTGATTAATTCGGAATAGCGAAAAAAGTGAAGATCTAATATGGAGGATTATTGATTCTCCCAGCAGGACCTCGACTGCTTATCCCAATGGTCTACAGAAGTTGACCTACCGGTCGACACGGTCAAGTGTTCCTTTATGAGCCGGGGGAGGGGTAGTAATGGGCGTGCGCACATCTTGGCCGGCCACCCCCTGCATCCCACCAGTTCCGTAGAGGATCTAGGCTGTGAGCTGAAGTCTGTCGACAACACGAACACACTGGACGCAAACGGACTACGCCTACGTTGGGTCCTTAGAGGCAGCTACTGCACTTGGTCCGAAGAGATTGCCACGTCTGTTCTCTTAAATAATAACACCGGTGCTTGAGTGCGGCTCACCTGATTATCCCACAATCACAATAGACTGGAAAGGATCCAGCATGTAGCTACCCGGCTGATCCCCAGTTTACGAGGTATGTCGTACGAGGACCGATGTAGGAGACTAGGGCTTCATATCCTGCCATATCGTCGGCTTCGAGTTGATCTCATTAGGACCCAACGGATACAGCACCTGGGCCACTTCCCTACGTTGAGGCCGCTGCTGCACGTTCGCGCGCCAAGCAGCACACGCAGACACCGGTACAAATTAGTGGTACCGGATTTAAAGCACATCGCTCACCCTCGATGCTTCGAACGTCGAGTGGTGAAATAATGGAACAAGTTTCCGGAGACGCTAGTCGAGGGGGAATTGGTGTGGAAATTTAAGTGATCCCTTGACGCCCACTTTGCAGACTACAGGTATATGGAGTGTAACGCACCCGGATAAGATGTAGTGCAGCTACAATATGCTGCCACCGCGCAGGAATCAGCGACGTGATTCCGCGCATGTGGCCGATCCACCTAGGATGGAGCAACACAGATTTTTATCTTCTCGTTCTCTATTCTCAGTATTCAGTATGCACGGTGGAGAAGCAGAAGATGTAGGATAACCATGACACTTCTAGTTGCAATGAGGAACTAAGGAGACAGTCTCTTGCAGACAACGGAAATTGCGAAAGATTTTAGTATTGGGTTAAATTTTTCGGGCACGCCACTCAAGAATAGGTAGGAAAAGCATCTAAAGGGAATGCGATATGCGCAACAAGAAAAATTACCAAGCAGGGTAATCTGTATGAGTGTCGTTGTGCCGGCATTTGACGACTGGACTCCTACGATCATCAATAATGCGCCGCAGTGGGATGTCAGTAAACAATGTTGAAGTAACAGCGGTAAGGTAAACGAATGAATGATTTTTATATTGTGTTGTGACAAATGTTAAAATGTGGACAGTTACCAGCATGAAGAAGCCTCTTCAGGGTCACAAATAGTGTGTAATAAAGCCACTAAGGAGACCCCGTCGTTCGGTAGTAGCAGCTGTGTGCAAACATGAGTAGATTATCAGTCAGGTGCATTCAAACCAACATGGTGGATGCTCCGTAGACATAAAGTAAGCGGAAAATTTCAGTTATCAAGTATCCAGGGCAGCAAAAGTACTGGTCAGCAGGGATGACGATACAAGCATAATTGCTGGTGAGTTAACTGAATTCTGACAGGGCTCCTGCTGTTTCTAGCCGGGAATGATGTACACTGCCAAACGTCTACCAAAAGCTGTATGGGTTACATGTTACATGTCAGGAGGGATGGCGCAGAAAGGTGGCTATTGGGCTCCTTGGTAAACTAGTTCCAAACAATGGAGACTGTCGGTGGCGGAAGTGGGACGTCAAGAAGGCCAGGGAGAAAAACTCCAAACAATGTGATGGGGAAATGAAAAGAGATTCCAGCATATCTTTTCTTCCATCCTTCCCATTTGAAGAAGGAGAAGAGTAAATCATAGGTACTAATTCACAATACTTGTGATTGCAGAACGCTAAAGCCACCTTCGCATTTCATCAAGGCCTTCGTGAATAGCCGGGGGCAAACCCACATAGGGTGCATAAAAATATTCGCCTATCAATCTCGCATTACCGTAGAGATATAGGCATTATGCTTTAACTCCACTCAGTACATCATATTTGGACGACTGTGCGCTGATGTCCCTTCCTCGTTGCTGGCACCGCGAAAATTATACGAAATGCATCTATGCACTAAGGTTTGTCTTTCCGCAAGCTAGTTAAATTCCAAATAGTTGTCAGATGCTCTGAGATGCCAACAGTATCAACCGAATCGCCATTCACCCTAACCCCCACGGTTCACGAGTCGCTGTAGGTTCTTGCATAAAATTGGAGCTTCTTTGGCTGTACTATATTTGATGTCAGGGTATACTTAATCAACAAGTTATAACAAAGCACTTGGTATAACGTAATATGTGATGGCCTAAGGATATGATGGCAACCGTGTTACTTGAGAATTATGATGCTTCAAGAACGAGGAGATCAAAAAACCTCGTCCTTCTTACCGAATGTAGAATGGCGTAAATTTCGTGAGACAGCCGTTGACCTAGTGGCGGGGGACAAAAGCAATGACGATTGAACTGGCTGCAGTTTATCTATTGCACCCACCAAGATGAGGTCCAGGTAATCCATCTTGTACTGTCTGGAAGAGTTATGTGATATGGCACGCAAACAGCATCAGACGCGTTTTTGCTGGCGTTACTTAGCAGAAGCACTTGGACTACGGCTGAGGTGGGGATATGAATCACAAAGAACCGAGCTGCTACCCTCGGGCATAATGTTGACAAGGTGCAGACGCCTGGAGTCTGAAACTTTAGATCCAGTGCTGAATCGCCTTCCTAGTTTTATTATTCCTCATTAGCGGAGTCTATAGGTTTGTGCGGCGGCGAAGCATCGCCACAAACTAGCACGTTTAACTACCTGTCAAGGAGCAGATCGAAGCAGTTTGCCAGGTGAAAATCGATTGCTGCTTACGCTCTTAACAACCCAACAGAAAGAGGACGCGGAGTAGTGACATGTGCAAGAAAGCGGCAGAAATTAAGGAGCGAACCACTTACCGAAGGAGTATGAATATGGAGTTATCGTTAGTAGTGGCTAAACCGTCATGTCGTTCGAAAAGTTCAACATATGCAATAGGTAAACACATCAACAGCGGAACACTCAGTGATAGAAGCTAAAACATACGTCGGTGGGATCTATGGGGAAAGCTTACCTGACTGTCGAGGCTACTAGACACAGCTAACGTGCAGGAGGAATTGATATCCACCGAGATCACACCTAAACGGTGACCGTCGCAGGAGTGCAGGTGTTCCAAGTGATTACCAGTCCTGAGAAAAGCAGAAAGCCAATGAAGTTGAACGAAACAGTGGACAACATTTACGTTATTGACGCGAGGTAGAATACAAAAGCTTAAGACAAAAAGAAGAACGGCATAGTTCCGGTATAAAAGACTTGGCAAAGCAGTACACCAGTACACTGTACTCGTTGCTTGAGATCATAGAACTCCATTTGATGGTAAGTGGGTTGAATCATCGTCAACGGCCCAAACCTAGGCAGGAATGGGGACCAGAACTAATCGCTGCAATGAACACCGTCAGTTTCGGTCGGAATTGTTCCTATAATGAGTATGGTCGGTTCACTGTGGACGAGAAGCATGTCACGGAAAGGTATGCGGCGATTAAGAGATTCCGTTCAAAGAAAACAATCGCACTAGTTGACTTTGGTCAGCTTGTGAATAATTCAATTTAAGCTGAGCTGAGGTAGTACTACTGGAGACAATGATTGGATCGGAACGGTTTCTAAAAAAGAGACTCATTGACCGCAGAGGATGTCAATTCGCATGAACGCACGGACACATCAACAGTTGAACCGGTAACGACGAATGCAGTTGTTGGATGGGCTCGCCCAGCAGATTAGAGTCCACGCAACCCACCAAGCGCTTAGTCCGGAAGATTACTGGACACGGATTGCAACCGGCATCACCAGTGTATTCACCGTCGTCCCTAAGCGAGAAAATCCGATTAAAATGTACATCAGCGGGGATAAGTGCACCATGATGGATAACGTGAAGACACTGTCCAACCGATGACACAGTATCGCGCTTGTGAGGATCATGTGGCTATGAACTTGCAGTAGTGATGAGGTTAAAGTGCCACCATTACGATTGGTTGCATGGCGTATCAATGTGTCCCTCTGTAGATGGTCCTTGTCCGCCCATCTTCTTTAGTCAGGTTCGCGTGACAAGGAAACATCACTACAGAGTACCGATGTACCGATGTTGAAGAAAAGGACCCCAGAAAAGATGGAGCAAAACTGAGCAGATAGACTTCAAGTGATTGTAGTGTACGGAGGAGGCAAGATGAGCAAGAGTGCAAACAGCTCAGCAAGTTGTAAGGCGGTCTCAGTATATTAGCAATGTGGTTCGACACCACGTAACTGACAAAACCTAGAAAAACGACCGCTGACACTAACTTAGGATTCCTGAGGGGCTGTCAAATACATCACAATTGCTTTCGAAAACGAAGGAGCTTTTCACTAGTGAAAAAGCAGTATATTTCGAGCAATTGCAATGAAGAATGTGTATTGGGAAACCAGTGCATAATACGGAGCTCCCAGAAAAGTGGACAAGCTTCGAACATTCAGCTTAGGAACCAAATAGGGCAATAGGGCAATTTGGAAGCGCGGAGTATGCCTCCGATTAAAAAGAAAGCCTGGGTGGCGAACGTGGGATCACGTATAATGAACAATATTCGGAAGTAGTATTCAGTTGCAGTATTTCACCGGGTGTTTCTCTCCACCGAATCTTCAGTCGTCTGGCTGTGTCCACTAGCCCGCAAACGCTATTCATCCGATGCGTCCTGTCCGATTTACCCCCTGCCTTGGCTAAGGCCACGGTGAGCTTGCCTTTGCCAAGTCGCGCCGATTTTGTGGCAACCACTTGTCAAGAACTACACTTCCCAAAAGTCCTGGGTCGTAGAACCCATTTTCATGGAAGTCGAATGGCTTTAATAAAATGAAGATGGGGTGGTGTCCTAAAAATGTCCATTGCTGTACAATCGGGCAAGGCAAGACTGGCCACAAAGTCTATCTGTCTGCAAAGGTTCGGTTTCATTCGTCTGATGGCCGAGGCTTCAGGGAAACGAAGCAAGCTTGCGTTGTTTTGTCTGCTGATAACCTTGAATGCGTCACGTGGGTTTTCGCACAAGGTACAATCGAACAGATACTGAGCGATGGAGCTGGCAGGGAGTTTAGGTCCACTATTTGCCTTGCCCTGGTAAGACGCAGGCAATGACCTTGGTTTGCTCAGTGTTTTATTGATTTTCCTATTGACCCCCTTTTTCAATTGCATTCCTTTACTCTTTCCACGATTTGTCTGTAAGCGGCTGAACGAGAAGACACGAAATAATCTGAATTCAGGTTATCCCACAGAAATGCTGTTCGTTCTTGCTCTTGAAATGACAGTCTTGTTCATCCGAAAGAACGGCTACCATCAAAAGAAATATTCTGCTGTGTACAATTCCTCATGATCACATGACAGTGAGGCACCATCACAAATCACTGATGTCCTGAAGACAATTCTTCTTAGTAAACTCCGTGGCGTGATGGAAAAGAGCCACAACAGTAAAAAGTCAGATCGAAGTTTGTTAAAAGCTCCCCATAGTAGCCTTGGATAGAGTATGTACGAGTGGCGGGGACTTCAAAAAATTAAGTGAAGGTGGCGTGGAAAGTGCCGCAAACGAGAGGCAGAAGCCGTTGTGAGAAAGTAACTGTCACACGTCAGTTCGTCAACAATGGTTTAAGAATCGAAGTGTGATTGATCCAACTGCCATGATCAGTACCATCATAACAAGAATAAGCAGCAGCAATTGAAGAAAATTAGAGCGAAGAAAGCAGACTAACGACGATGGGTGAAACAGAGAGAAGGATAAGATATGATGGCCGAATGAAAAGGCCAGAAGTTAGCGTAATAAACCTCGTGCAAATACCCCATAGGCTCTGCAATTGCATCGTGTTAAATAGGATCCGCTATAACAGATGTGGAAGATTCTGTGGACCCCGTACAGGAAGACGGCATGCACACAAGTAGTGTAGGCTAACACACACTGAGGTGCCCGACAAACAAGGGGGCTTAAGCTCAAAAAAATTGTCCAGAACCGTGCTGGGGATTTCGGTACCAAGAGCATTTGGATCACTAATTCGGTACTCTCAGTTACGAACGGCAAATAAGGGTGATATCTTCGTGTCGTCAACACGAAGCAACTATCTCTGATCAATTTAATGACAAGTGTGGTAGCGCTCGATATTCTTTCAATCACTGCTAAGTCGATTGACCACGGTCTATAGAGAATCAGGAGTCCCACCAGTGGGTGAAATAGTCTCGTTGGTAGTTTGGTCACCAAGAAAGATTTGGCTACCTACATAGGCAATCCGAATGCGGACTACTTCGAGGGGTCGTTAAGTAGGTGAGAGAATGGATACTGTCCTCACTCAGTCCCGAAAGGGCGCTCTGCACTTTGATGTTTCAAAACAAATGCCAAAGCACTTATGCAGGGAACAGCCCCGATCCCAAGAGAGCCGTATAGTCTGTGTTTATCAATCGGTCAAATAGGTGAATTTTCACTTCAGATGATGGCAACATAGTGTTACTCATGATCGGTTCAATAGCGAGGTGATATAAAAAAGTGGGTGGGAAAGTCCTGATGCTGCCTATATGTCCTGGGGAGTGAGCGTTGTTCTGCAGACGGTCCAGAGATTTTACCCTTCCGAAAGTGGCAAGAACAAGACAAGTGTGAGCGGCTAATCAAGTACGACCAGAAATCAAGGAAAATGAACACTGTAGACCATTTGTAGTTAAAGCGACGTTCCAACTTTGACAAATCCCGAATGTGCAGTTAATGCACCCTGCGCCAGACCGCAATCCAACGCGGTTCCCAAACACCCCATTTTCCCAAGCAACAATGAGTCATGGTACGATGATCCAAATGAAAATGTTGCAGTACACAGCAGTAGAATTCAAGGAACACATCAAACGAGTAATGGTTGAAGAGAGCACATATTATGCGAAGCCAAAACATCCGTAGAATTATAGCTGATAAAATGGTAAAACAATTAGATACCATAGTTAGATACACGCAAAAAGACACGCCCCATGTGACGCACATCGGTATACTGATGCCATTATGAATAGCAGTAAAATGCTAATGATGTATATAAAATCCTTACTTACCACTTCCAAACTTTCAGACTGTTGTCCAGGGAACCTGTCATGATATAGTCGACTCCAGTAACACCGTTGCGACCCCAGGCGCAACACCAGACGCCATCTTCGTGCGCTGACAACGCACGTGAAGGGAGAAAAGATACAGAATACTTTCAATAAATGTGAGAAAGATAGCCACGGTAGAAAACATAGCAAAGCCGAGGAACGTAAAACATCGCGCAACCAGTAGTATGAATTCGGACGTGCTGATTATTCAATTAGCTACCAGCATTTTTAGGAAGCAGCCTTGCTTGCATGATTCCATATTATATGGTCTAAACTACCACCTTTCCCAAGTTCCCGATACTTGAAGTTATTACCCCAAGTCATCGATAGCAATCCATGGTATGGTCCTGAAACACGTGATTGCTCACGTTTCAAATAAAATGCCTTGTGGCAGTTGAACTGTTCGCTGAGTTTGGCAATGTGGTTGCAAAGGTTTCGTCACCAATCGAGGTGACATCAACAGTGCGTAGTTGAGTGGCATGCAGTGGCGCAGAATAGCATAAAGGGGCCTCGGTGAGAGTGCCTTGTGCTTCATGATCCTCCAAGCTAGATCTACCACAAATGAGCTACCCATTCTTAGTGACCTCGCCTTGTAAATAAACTTTATTCTTGACTACGTGGGGCACACCCTTAGGAGCGTGATCATGCTGAAACAATTCCCATTTCGGAAGCTAAGCGCAAAAAATACGCCAGACACCGATCAGTTCGTAAATGAATATCCAGTATTCAGGAAGGATCGTTCAAACGGAATGGGGTAGATGCCGTTGTCACGTGCCCAAAACTGATGGTGTTGGTCTAGTAATTGACCAACTTCTATCCACTGTCAATGTTACCATATGGTTAGTTATTTCTGTAGGCACCAGCAATACGCCGGTACGCAGTACCGACGCTTCGCAGCTGCGCAACCACCACCAGTCGCACGTGGGCTAAGGATAATGCGAGGGTCACCCGGTCCCTACGCAGACTCCAACCGCGCCGTCAGAATACAAGACAGGCTACGAGCCGGTTTGGTACTTCTGTAGGTACAACGTAATCGGTTAACGCATGTGCTTGCAGCCAATCATATATTAACCCGATTAATAGTGTTAAGAAAAATTCGCCTGCTATTTTCCTACTGTCATGCTAACACACACTGGTGCGGCCAGATTTCAACATGTACGATATAATGTGCCCCACCAATGAATCACCAATCGTTGACCACATATAAATGGATGACTGGATATACACCGTCTCTTCATCCACAAAAAGCAGAGACACCATCGAACAGAAAAAACAAGGACCATTTTTTTATCAGCATCCGATTGGACACCTCACATAGTAGTGGACCCGTGGTATGCACAAGAACACATCAAATCTCTATTAGAAAATCCAGATTTCTCAGCTTTCATGCGGATACAACAGACCCTTAATAGATTACACTGCGAACAATAACGAAAGAGGACGTAGCGCTTGGAAGTACTAACACATCTACGCACTAATGGAACCGATAGAGTTGAAACAAATGAAGAAGTCATAGCTTCCCTTCAGCTGTGCTGACGAAAAGCGTCTAAGTGACCCAAAGGTAATATTTGAAACATTTAGTTCATTGCCTTCTAAAGCGCTGACGGGTGACTCGCTGTCAATACGAAAAAAACCATTAATCAAAGTGCCTACATGCTGTGTACAGTCCAGACCCGATGAAATTCGTCTCCTGTTGGCCAAAATTGCCATGTACGGCACACAATGTTCCGGATGGACTACTACCAAGGGTTGTTCCGTCACTAATCACGAATTTATTTGTCGATGTCAACAGGTAATTTTCCATTTCAGAGGACGAGGTTGTTAGGGGACATGGAAGTGATCCGTTGTTTAGCAATGCCAACTACCACTCCAAAGGCTTCAAGATTATGCAGCGACTTGATGAAGAAGTGGTTTTTGACTCCATCCTTAACACGACCTTATTCGTAGGTCCTAGCGCGGCTTTCCAAATATCCGTTCTAGTATAATCTTTCAGCTTTAATTCCTTACGTTACAGTTGGTGTGAACTCTGACATACACTGGGCTATGGTGGGTGGCGTTTTTGCACAGCGAGAGAATCTCGAATTCGATTGGTCCATTGTTTGAGGTATGACAAATGCAGTCTTCTGGCTCTCCAGATCGGGAGTTACAGTGAAGGTGGCCACTTACTCCATTAAACAGACTCACTGTAATCAAGGGCCAACTCCTGCTGCTTTGTGGTAAGATTTGTAAACCCAAGGTTTTGTTTAAGAACCCAAATCTTTAACTTGTCTAAGCCTCAGCGACATGACAGTATCCTGTCCATACAACACATTGAATCTTTCCTCAAACAATATCTTGATGCTCTGACCGCCGTAAAGACAACCAACGGCACCCTACTTGCTACATCGAACAGGGACGATGATGATATTGTTCAGCCCTTCCCGTCATATAATTCCCCATCTCATGCTTTTGCATCGCTATCATCCTGTTCCAAATCAACTTTTATCCACTGCTTCTAACCCCCAAAATCTTGGCCCACTCACCATGTTGCTTCAATAGGTAGTTGAGTTTTAGTTTTGACTCATACGCAATCTCAGGGCGTCACTCCAGGTCGGCCGACAAGTCCATATTCAACCAAGCGGACATCGTCAGTTCATCCGCCTCTCTTTGGAGCCCTCAATTCTCGCTAAGACTGGCATGCTTCAACGTGCGCACTTCCTTACCGCCTGGTCAACAGGTAGCACCTGCATGGATAATAGAGACCCTATCAATAGACTTTCGTAATTTATGGGAAACGTGAGTGAAAGATTCCAACTTAATACCTGTCCCCGGATGCAGACCCTAATGAAATCAGAAGAGCAAAAGGTTCACTGATCTATATCGAAACTGAATGGCTTATCTCGTAGTCGTGACACACGCTCAACCAATGACATTTCGTCACATTGACTGTTTCAATGTCAGTTGGTAGAGAAATTTGGAATTGTATCCGGTGCACCTCGAGATGTCTTCTCGAAAGAAAGTGTTCGTGGAGCAAAGTGCTTTTAGGCGGCAACATCCAATCCTCGTTCTACTTCATTAACTGACAAAGGATCAATTCAATGAGAATCACAGTGTACATCGAGATTGCGAGCCGCAACCCAACCACACAACGTGAACTTCAAAATGAATTTCCAACTCAGTGATTCATCGTTGTGCCAGGCAATCACCGTCGTCACCAGATGTATTAGGCGTACAGGTTCCAACTAACATTCCGAAATCCTTACAATCGCTTGTGATCATTTGCAGACAAGTGTCGTACGTTAAAAATAAGAGACGCTTCCCCAAGATGTTCAAAAGCTCAGTGATATTGTCGAATATAAAGTCATTCGCTCACATAAGAAGACTAAAAGTCACAAGGTTTTCGTGCTCCCCGTCCGAACTTTGCGCAGAAGTAACCGTATTTTCCATTCATCAGCCAGCTCTGCCCCGAAATGTGTCTTCATACCTCTTGAACCAAGATTCGAAAGTGCATGCAAGATCAAGATAATAGCTGTATTCTGTGATGCTACATAACATTCCATCGACGGATGACCGCTTTCTGTCAATTGAGGAGGATTGAATATACAATTCTTGTGACAGCGTTTCACTGAATTGCGCATGTGATTCCTCCAATAAGTGTTGCTGCTGCAGGATAAAGATGATCTCTTCTGTCAAGAGTGGCATCTTTGGGAGCTATTAATAATTTTTCTCGGTTGCCAGAAAACGCTTAGGAATCGCAAAGGTGTCGACCTCCAACCCTAAGCGCTCGTTAGACGTTGACAAGGGACACTCTTCCGAGAGGATGAGGTAGAGGATCATTTTGAAGTATACGTTGTGATTGGATCGCGACGCGTAATCTCAATGTGGACCGTGATTCGCATTGAATTGAATCATGATCAACTCGATCATTAGGACTGTGGCTGATGAAGCAGAAAGTTGTATGCTGCAAGCCTGAAAACATTATGCTCCACAACGTGTTTCGATCTCATTTGATTTAATCAGGTAGAAATATCAGGCCCCGAACCCGGGACCAATGAGATGTTTGTTGTGACCGCTACATCTAAGCCACTGGGCCACGACGGCTAACGCTTGGCACAACGGTTAATGATTGGAGGACCATCTTGAAGTACATGTTGTGTGAACAAATTGCGGCACGCAATGTCAATGTGGACAGTGATTCAAAATAAAGTGAAATCTGGTCAGTCCGGAGACTAGGACTGTAGCAGATGCAGATGGAAATCGAGTGTTTGCTACCCGAAAATACTATACACCACGACACGTATCGACCTCATGTGATCTCATCAAGTAGAGACACCAGGCCTCGAATTGACCAAGGTTCAATACAATGCGAACCACCGTCCACATTGAGAATGCGTGCAACAATCCATCCAGAAAACGTGCACTTCAAGAAGGCCTTCCAGTCATTAACCGTTGTGCCAAGCGTTGCCCGTTGTGGCGCAGTGGCTTAGAGGTAACGGTCACATCTAACATCCCATTGGTCCCGGGTTCGAAGCCTGATATCTCTAATTGATTAAAACAAAGGTCGAAACGCGTTGTGGAGCACAAGGTTTTCAGAAGTGCAACATACAACTTAGTTTCTGCTTCATCAGCCACAGACATAATGATCGAATTGATCGATACAATTCAATGCAAATCACGGTCCATATTGGGATTATGCATCACAATCTGCTCTACATTGGATGCAGTGGCATATTTTGTTCATTCTATACCCTCCGCATTAGATCAAAAATGTGCATCCGTACGGCTTCTCTTCCTGTATTATTCGAATGCTTTTGGAAGCCTACATAGGTTAATGTTGCTAAATCTGCTATCCGAAAATGGAGTTCACCCAGGTTTGTGTAAGCTGTTACATGGCTATTTTACGGATCGTAGTTACTTCATCAAGCTGAACCGTAGGAAATCCTCTGTCCTCCGTGCCGACTGTGGTGCTCTGCAGGGAGTGATCCTATTAGCTTTTCTATTTTCCTTGTATGTCGAACGTCTACCTATACAACCCACGTCTATAGGGTGCAAATATGCTAACGACATTATGCTGAGATGTATGGAACCACTATCCAGGATTTCTCATCACTTCAACGTAAGCTTGAAGATCAGGTGGAATGGTCCTCATCCAGATCTCTTACACTCAATGCATCTAAATGCAGTGATGTAAAAAAAATTTTCATCGATGTCTGCGAAGCATTGCTAGTGTCGGATGACACCAGCGTGTCCGCAAAGATCATGTGCGTAGAGAAGTACTAGGTTGTGATAATCATGCTAGCTCCCTAGAACAACAGATAACCCAGGATAAGTTGCGCTGGCTCAGGCACGTGCTACCTATGCCTGGTCACCGCTTACCTAGGAAGGCCTCGTTTAGTCTGCCAGGTGTAGAGTGGCACAAGGCTCGAGGTGGACAGAAGTTGACTTGGCAGCGGGAAATGAAGTCACTGATGACCAAACTGGGTGCCGTTGGTCCGTCTCGCCTTCCGGGTTGGAGTCCACGTGACTTGCCTTGTGCTTGGATCGAAACTTTACAGAACATGGCTCGCAACCGACACCAGTGGCGCGTCTGCTGCCGTCTCCTAATCAGATTGCCTGTTTAAAGTGTGTTTGGTGCTGAGTTATCTGCGGGGTAATGGCTGACTATGACGCGGGACATTGAAAGCCGCATGGAAGCTATCTCGCCAATGCCGCTTTATCTTTGCACGATAGTCAGCTGTTTGTGACGGTATGTCGTTAACACAAGGTGTAGGCGCCTTGACCCTTAATGTTTGTTTAGAAAATTAAGGTTTTCAAGTAAGTCCCCCTTCTCTCCCTCTTCTTATTCTTTAGTTCATAGGTCATGATGGTTGTCTGACAGCGAAGCATCAGTTCAAATGGCTGATGTACTGCTGTTGTTGGTGATGATGACATGCTTCAAATGCGCACTTTCTTTGAAGATGCCAGGGAAAGCACAGCCCCATTGCTGGTCGGATCTTGCGAAACCATGGTCAAGGCCCGGTGCCGAGTACGCAGGACCTGTTAATGGAAACAATTACCTCATCCGCTGTACAGTATAGCCACCTGGAGTGCCGCAGAGATTTCTTTTCCATTCGTGTCCGTCACCCGTGGAATGGTCTCCCAGTATCGATCATCGCTGCACCGACACCAAGGGTATTTAAAAGACGGTTGTATGACGCACTCATCCACTTACACTTTGTCACTTTGCGCTACATCTCCATTCTAGACCTGGAGTTTTCTATGGAATTATTTGATGTTAATTGCGAATGCTGTGAATCTAAGCACATTTCAGGACTACGGTGGAGCAAACGATAAGTCCTTATTATCATATTTAAAGTACTAACTGCTGTACTTTCATTATTATCGTTGTAGTTACTTCGATATCCCCACCAACTATACAACGGGACTTGTAAAGCAACGTTTCGTAACCCGTATAAATACACTGTTCACTGTTTATTCTGGTTGACGCCTACCTCAAGTGGCCAAAGGTTTTGAAGATGCCATCGACTATTACTTCAGCAACCATTATGGCCCTCGGTCAAGTTTTTAGTCCCTTTGAGTATTCAGACAACGGAACTAAACTCACTCCAATAAATTTCGAAGACTTCTGCAATAAAAACGGCATGACCCACATGAGGTCGCCTCCACACCTTCTACAGTCGAAAGGCGTAGCACAGCGATTCGCTGACACCTTCAAGAGAGCATTACTGAAAGCAAAGGGGGAGTTACTGACGAGCGAAATCCTTGAGACTTTTCTATTAGCCTACAGGATAACTCCAAAGCCGCAGGTATTTAAAGATAAAACTCCGACAGTAGCACTAATGTAACAAAAATTGAGATCTAGCCTCGGTCTGCTTAAACCTGCTGCTGCCTGAATCGAAACCATAAAATGGAACAGAAGTTCAACAGCAGACATGGTGAATTGCCCCGAGTTTTTTTAAAGGGAACCTGGTACTGGCAAAGGACTATCGCAGAACCCATGTTAGTTAGCTACCGGGACGTACCATTGGTCAGAGCGGAAATTTCATGTAGAAGGCTGCTGTTAACTCAGGGGGTTATGTCTAACATGCCAATCAGTTACAGTCCCCTTTTTTCCTCATACAGCAATACCGGGAAACACGCTGATATCAGACTTGCTCCTAGACACATTCCACAGCAGCCCAGAAGACTCCATACCCAAATAGAAGACTCGACTTCCTACATCTATACCGGAATTCGCACCAAGATGGGTGGATTGATGCCGAAAGTAAGGGTTTTCGACTAAGGTGAACCAGAAGTGGAATGTTAGGGGACGCAGACCCTAACGAAATGGGTCGGATGCGACGTAAGCCAGTCAGCTCGAAAATGATTGCTTTGTCTTATAGTCGTGACCCGTCTCAACCAATGACATTTCCCCACATTGATTGTTACAAGATCATATGGTAGGAGGACCTTATAAGCCACTGAAATCTCATCCTATGTACCTCGTTCTGTTTTCTTGAAAGTATGCCTTCTCAACGTTTTCCGACTTTGTTCTTAGTCGGGGGTTTAGGCGTGGAGATCGTCACGTTCGCGATCTGTAAGAGACCGCAACAAGTGGGATCATCTTAGAAATTTAATTGAATAATGTGTGTTATGTCTAACCAAGGTCAAACAATAGAACATCTATGTAACTCAATGACATCAGTTTTCCGCCAGGAGATAAAAAGAACTTCATTGTGGGACTATGTAAGAGAACGCCTCGTGATGGAGTCCGTGGATAGAAATACAGGGAAAGATGATAGCCCTGACAAATGTCACAGGTTTGTGACAACTCGCCAAAAATACTGAAGCAACATGATGTGCTTAACTGCGACGCGCGTAAAATGTTCACGTATGTTGTGAGAAAATCTTTCTGATAAGTATTTCAGGAGTTCAAGCGATGTGGAAAATTGGTTACCAAGGCAACAAAATTACACAGGGTAATTGATGATACACTTATTAAAGCATCAATAATTTGTCTGTCGCCCCCTACTGTCACGACTGCCTTCTCCAGAAGTTGGTTCTTTCTGTCGTCCTTGAATGTGAGATGTTTCACGGTGGATCGGTTTCCTCCAGACGCTGTTCGTACAATACAACTTGCTCCAGAAACATTACAGCACATCGAAGCAAGTGAAGCTGAGAAGCACGGCTACAGCTGACCTCCAGTAAGTGTGACGGTACCACAGCAACAGGCCGTAGATAAAAAATATGGTAGATGCTGCACCGTCAAGATCAAAAACAGGCCCGTTGTTCTCTCATCCTGTACTCGGTTCCACTGCAAGGCAACATATGGGGACGGAGGCCAGTAACGTTGTCAACGTCTGTGTCGGCGAGACTCCGATGCCAACGTGGCTGGCATAGACGATGTGAATGCCATGCTTGATCAGCACTACTGTTAGGATTGGACCAGTTTTAACTACCCCAACCACAGTGATCATCGATCAACCGCTATCGATCACTGTATTGAACACTCCGTCATAGCCAGAGCAGCGTTCGCATTTGGCATCATGGGCTGATGCAGTACGGTTGTCCAACTTCAGGCCTGTAATCCAATTTGGTCAAATACATAAATTCTGGAAATGTACCCATTCTTTTAACAATGAGTTGCAACAATTTGGCGACGGAGGTGGGGTGGATCAAGACGGTGTTTTTACAGTGACTTGGAATGCAATTTTTTCACAAGAACGAGAACACTGGAGCCGCTCGGTTACACATGATCTGGATTTCACCAGACCCTTATCTGTCCAGCCAAGTGGAAATCCGCACTTAATCATGATCGAGACCGTCACTCGACAATTACATTTTCAGTCAGCAGTCCTCAGGTAATTACGAATGACCGGGACAGTCACTTGACAGTTGTCTCTCTAGCCGGCAGGTGGAAGAATACCGAAGAGCCTTTAGAAGACGCAGCAATCAACAATGGCTTACAGCAAATGTTCAGTGCTGCAAATAAGGGACAGCAACGGTCCTAGTTACCCTGCAACTGCAACAATCCAGAAGACCCTCAAGAATGTCATGCCATTAAAACTTTTCTTTGCGAGGAAGGTGCTAGGATTAGACCAATCCTAACTACCCCAATCACAGTGATCATCGATCAACCGCTATCGGTCACTGTATTGAACACTCCGCCATAGCCAGTGCAGCGTTCGCATTTGGCATCATGGGCTGAGGCAATACGGTTGTCCAACTTCAGGCCTGTAGCTCAACTTGGTCAAATACATAGATTATGGAAATGTGCCCATTCTTTTAACACCGGGTTGCAACAACCACCATAGTCGATTCGCATCAGTCGGCAGAGGTAGCCTCTTCCCTTCAAATCTGCTTAGATAAGCAAGGTATTTCGTCGTACCTAACGTCACCATCATCATGTGAAGCAAGGGAATAGAAGAAACAAAGCCAGTGACACTATAATTGTTGACAGTCGTTGCCTCGTTGTGAATCTCATATACAGCTAACTAGTTATGACTGAACTTGTGCAAACCTGAGCGTGGGGCGGTTCTTAAGTAGGATGGGTCGACAGACGGAAGCAAGCTACCATTTGCTAACAAAAATACATACAATATTGTTGACGGAATAGTCCCGTCAAAAAGTCATGAAATTTGGTTGAGGACAATGCAGATCAAAAGAGGTATGTCAGGGACACGTGGATTAACCATCAGCTAAAATGTTGCTCACCTTTCTCGTGCTTGTACTTTGTTGCGAACTACAAAGAGAAAAATATATATATATATAGGAAAAGTAAAGCGATGCATAAGCACATTCAGTCAGACTGCTGTTGTTTTCAAGACAACTCATAAAGTCGCATCAAAGACTCACAAGACGAACAAATTGTAGGCGTAACTAGGGATGATCCAGAGGAACAATGAAAGCATACCGAAGGAGTGCATCGTTTGCGACAAGTATATTCTAGCATTATAAAGAGTTTGGCAGTCAATCCATTTGTAATAAACTGGGAGTTCACCGGTCCCAACATCAACAGTATCAATACACGTTAGCTGAGAATGAGAAACAGCTAATGTGCCGCAATGAAAAAATAAAGGAAATCAAACATTACAGATCATAAAAACTAACAAACAAGGTATGCCAAATAGCATAGTATGCATCAGGTGGGAGATCGTCATTGGAGAAGGCAAGCAAGATAGCGAGGGACAAAAAGAGACTCACAACACAAACACCAATGAGGTCGACTCCTAGCCATGTCAACAAGTATATTCAATCAAACGTGTTCATCGTCCTTCAGACTCCTGCCCAGCAGTCGGGAGACACTGAACAACACCAACTTCAAAGTGAGGGCTGTCATTCCTCTTAACCAAGTGATTGAGCGGGCTCTTCTACTCATCTTCCAGCCACATCCCCAGAGCACAAACAACAGGTCGCGGGAGTCGGGGTGTTGGTATGCGAAACACGTGACCCAGCCGTCGGAGCCTGGCGCGTGATATAACGAAGCTGAGCAGTTCACTCATTCTTCATGCGTCAAATATATGTCTCCAGACACGCTCATTCCTCACGCGGTGCTCCCACCAGACGAGCTAAGCTACGAAGACAGCGATGATAGAACGTAACTAGTCTCTAAGTTTGTCAATCGGACGGGCTGGGTTTCGCAACTGTACCGAAGGGCTGAACAAACGGCTGCACTGTAAACTCCGCTCTTCAAGGCGAGTGATGTCGCGCCGGCGCCACAGGTGACGGAGATTGGCAAAAGCGCTGCGAGTGTTTGTTAGACGGTTCATGATCACATCTTCGATCCCACAGGCGCTAATATAACTGCCAAGATACTTGAATTTCTCGATGACTTCTAGCTGATCCCCATCAAAGGTCCGCGCAGAGATGGGTCGCTCTTAAACTTGGAGGACGTTGCATTTCAAGGGTGCAAAGCATAGTCCGAAACGACCTACAGCCAGAGCTAATTTAGCCAATGCTACTTGGCGCGTATGAAAGCTGTCACAGTGTTAGATCTGCCACTTTTAACGCGATTCCGGTTGGACTGATTTCGTCCTCTGATACCTCCAAATTCAAGTTGAAGTCAAAAGTCAACGCCTAGAGGGAAAAGCGTGTTTTAGAAGCAGCTACCGAAACGGATACAAATATTGTGGAATCAACGGACATTTATAATTAAACCCAAGAGCGTAGATCAGTTTCGCTAACCAATGGGAAGGTAGATGTGCATATCATGTGGATGCGAACGATCATGAAGCGAACGTTCCTGAAACGACTTTATGTTTCGGTTGTAACCCATTGGCTCAAATCGTTTTCCCATTGAAATTATGAATTCTCCCGGAAGATTTTACTTTCCCAGAGACAGAGTTGGACAAAATCGTTGGTATAATCCAAGTCAATAAGTTGCTCACCAAGAAGTAGCTCCACAACTTGTAGGTCGTGTCTAGCGAACACCATTTTCATGACTTCGTCAATGGTGAATCTAAAGAGGAAGGGTGAGAGCGAGAAACCTTTTCTCACACCAGTGGCGTAATTCCAAACAGGAATATCGCTTATTCTGGAATACCTCCGTCGACTCTAATCATGCTTTGGTACGCTGTCGCTGTTTCCTGAACGTTGCCGGGAGGCGTAACATGCTTCTCCCTCGTTTGGCAACTGAGTTCTCTCAGTCTCAGACCAGGCAAGCATACCAGGATGCGCTACGTACCGGAATTGCGATCTCTCGTCTTCATGACACAGGCTTCGGTGGAATAACCTCACGGCCGACATGCAGGACCCAGGAGCACCCGCTTGAGGCACTATCAATCGTCAACTTGATAACCGAGAGGTCGGTGAACTTGCTGAAATCCAGAAATCTCCCGGCTGGTTCTAAGCAGAATGTGATTAGAGGAACTATTAGACGCGAACTAAAGCAAAGCCTGCGTGCGGATAAGGAAACCTGGTGGACAGGTGGGTTCAAAAAATGGAGGAGGCGGAAGCAGTAGGCAGTTACCGCAGGTTTTTCCATCTGATCCGCACCACTGATCCCAGCAAACCAGATCTCGGCGAAGCAATCAGAGATAGCGCGGGTGCACCAATTCACGATAAGGAGCACCGTATCGCTTGCTGGGCGGAGTGCTTTCCAGATCAGTTCAGTTGGCGTCCTGCTCCGGGACCTCCTACTCAGGTGGTGCAGGCTGAGCCATGGTCTGGTATTTCAGAAGCTCCTAGCAGACTGAGGTCCGAAACGTGATCATAGCTATTAACCGTTTCCTGCTGCTAGTACGGATTCCCTACTACCTGCATTAAGTAAGAATGGTGGTGAGGTCATCTACAAAGCGCTGACCTCTTTGATCAAACAGGTTTGGAAGGAAGGGACCATCTCAGTTAACCGGAGCGAATCGATTACCGTGCTAACCACAGGGGCTAGCTTACCACCAGTTGTGACAAAATTAGCAGCCTCAATTCTCGTTCATCCCGAATTAGGAAAGAGAAAACAGGCTTCCGCCCAGGACGGCGCTGTATAGACCATTTATACACTCTGCGGCATGTGCTAAAGCAGCACACCGCATACCGCAGACCGAAAAAAGCGGTGTTCCTCGATTTCAATAGCGAGTTCGACTCAGTCGATCGATACATTCTGTGCGAAATATTTGTGCAGAAAGATGTTCTCATGAAATATGTGAACATCCCACGTGCTTTGTAACACCATTGGACGCATTAGTCTATGGTGACAATAAGTGGCGCTCGTCAATTTCCTATTTCGTTCATCTTTGTCATAGATACCATCATGGAGTACTCCCTTGCAGAATCTCACGATGCCAGGTGGAAAAGTAGTTGCTTTTGATTATACGGACGACATTACCTTGTTGTTCAAGGAAGTTGGTGCGGCCACGTCAATCTTAAATAACCTCTAAAGCGGTCCCATCATTTGGTTCGCGCTTCGTATCTTCAAAGTGTAGTGTTGTTGTAGGACCACCAGCCACTTGATGACCCCCTGAATTTTGTAAACGAGGAACTTGAGGTAGTTGATCAACTCCTTTACTTTTGCAGCTGCATCAGCAACGATGGCGCAAAACAACTGAAGGCAGTTCGTGTTGCAAAAGCTAAAACCGCTTTCCTGAATCCGCAACATCGTTGGCGTCAGAAAGGGTTTCCTAGGTCTGAAAAGCCGTGAGGGCAGTCCCACTCTATGGGATTGAGGCTTCGCCTCTCAATTCTGAGGATCTGAAATGTCTTCAAGTACTTGACCACCGCCGCTTGAGAAGCATTGCTGGTCTCGGGTGGTACCAGCGTGTAATCAATAATGATGTGTGCAGGCCAGTTCCTAAGAACAGCTGATAGCATTGAATAAATTGCGTTGGCTTGGGCAGGTACTACGTACCCCCGGTCACCGCTTATGAAGGAGGGCCTTATTTGTTCCCCAAATGTAGGATGGCACAAAGCTCTAGGTGGACAAAACATAGCTTGTTAGCGGTAAATGAAGTCATTGCCTACAAAACTGGGTGTTGCTGGTCCATTCTACCTCCCAGTTCGGAGTCCACATGACTCACCGAGTGTTTAGCTCGACACATTAAAAGACATGGCTCGCTGTCGGCACCAGTGGCGCGTTTTTCGTCGTCTCGCAGTCGAACTGCTCGCTTAAAGTGTGTTTGGAGTTGGATTACCAGAGGCGTAATGGGTGATTGTGACGTGGGTCAATGAAAGTCGCAAGGAAGCTGTCTCGTCAATGCCGCCTTATCTTTGCACGACAGCCAGCTTGTTGTGGAGGTATGTGGTTGAAAAAGTGTACACGCCTTGGTCTTGAAGATTTGTCTAGGGGGCATAAGGGTTTAAGGCTGGTTCCGCTTTCTCACCCACTTATTAGTCTTCGTTGCGTAGGTGATCGTGGTTGTGCGGCAGCGAACCATCAGATCAAATAAATGGTATACTGTAGTTGTTTAGGGAGAAGAAGGACGGTGACAATTTGCTATAAAGTCCCACTCTGTCTAAACTAGGCGCGCACAACACTCTGATAATGGTTATATATGTATCCGGAACACTTCCTTAGTAGAGTCCCGGAGAGCACATCAATCGCCTGAATCGAAGAAACCTTTGATATCGAGAAACACGACTACGGTGGGTCACCAATAAATATCGACGTCTTCCAATAATTGACGTGAAGTAAAGATGTGGTCAATGCAATCTCCGATTCGACGAAACCCGGCTTGCCCCTCGCGAATCCAGCTTTCAAGTGTCAGCCAGTCTGTGGAGAAAGACAGAGGCAAGCAACTTAGAGACGATTGATACCTGTGCTTGCCGCATTCAGAGTGGGAGCCTCCGTTGAAATATGAAACTATGACGGAACGGATGCAGTCTGTTGGGACAGTCCCCTGTCCTCACAGCTTCACTAGTAAGTTGTGCAAAACATCCAGAAGAGCTGATCCTCCAATTTAAAGACAGCTGAAAGAAGTCTATCTGCCCCTGCGGCAGTATTCAATTCCAACAGTCTGATCCCACATTCGACTTCTGCCACTGATGGCGGATAAAGGGGACGGCCCAAGGAGAATGGCAATCAATGTCCGAAAAGGAAGCTCAAAAGTTAGTATCCCTGCTTTTCAAAGTGTTCGGCCCAATGCTCTAAGTATTTTGACAAGCCGTGGATTGGCCGCCCACTCTCGTCGCGCATGGTCTCGCTAATACCAAGTTTCCTGAAGCTCATTTCCCGTATCAGACGGAATAACTTGCAGTGGTTACGAACGTAAGCAGCAGCTTAGATTTCCGACGAACGATGAGACCGTCAGGCTTGGCGGTGCCAAAATGCCAATTAGCGTCCTCCTGTATCTAGCCAGAGATGGACCCAGATAGATCACATTGCCATAAGTTGCAGGTGGGGTGGTTCCATTCTAGATTGCCGCTTGTACTAGAGCACTTGCGCCAACATTGATCATGTCTCTGTACGTTGTCATTTCTCCATGAACATCACCAGAAGACGCACCAATCGTCTCCATCTAGTGGCAACTAGGAACTGATCTCAGCCTCAAGTCAGACAAGCATACCAGGATGCCCTGGTACGATGGAAAGTGATGTCTTCTAGATGGACTGCTTGACGCGAAACCTGGTGAAGATGGATGCGGGATATAGCGTCGGCTGCATCAATGTGTCGAATGTCGGTGGTAAACTGTGACATGTAATCCAAATGACGAGTTTCTCGAGGCAAGGAGCGATCGGATGAACCACGAAAAGTAAAAGCGAGTGGCTTATGATCCGTGAGAATGGTAAATGAAAGCCTTACAATCAAATGGTGAAAATGATTATCGGCGGGATAAATGGCTAAGAGTTCTCAGCCAGAAGTATTGTATCGAGTCTGAGGAGGTTGTAGCTTTCGATATAAGAGAGGCTCAGGTTTACCTTCTATGATCTGTCGAACGACAACAACAGCAGTTTGAGACGCATCGGTTTTGAGAATTAAGGATATGTCGACATCGGTTCTCAAGTAACTAGGCGCAATAGCGTTGGAAAGCTCGTGTTCGATCTTGTCGAGTGCTGCTATGGCTTCCCTAGTTGGTTCAAACTTGCCAGACTTGTCTTTGAGCAGATTTGTCAATGGCTGAAGGAGCTTAGAGCATTCTGAAATGAAGCGACTGTAATGTTTGACCATACCGAGAAAACGGCGTGAACTTTTAATGATTGATGCATCGGATAGTCTGCGAGAATTTGTGTCCTTTCAGGAAGCGGTCTAATAACGTGAACGATTTTGTGGCCCAGAAAGTCAGCAGATGACTGAACAAAGATGCTTTTATCAGCGTTGATCGTTACGCTAAATTGGGCGACGTTCGAAAGTTTGACGATGACACAAGTGTTCTTCACAATTGGCTAGGAGTAGATCGTCAATATATGAGAAGACCAAATCAAGACCTCTAAGGACTTGGTCCATAAATCGCTGAAAGTTCTGTGTGGCGTCTCGCGGACCAAATGGCACACGGACGAGTTAGTAGAGATCAAACCGTGCAGTTATTGCTGTTTATAGGTATGTCGTCCGGAGACAGGAATTTTGTATTAGGCTAGGACAAGATCAATTTTGGAAAGGATGGTTTTGCCATGTAAACCGATGGAGAATGGGTAAACATACGGAATCCGGTATCTGTGCGGTACAGTAGTGTTGTTCAATGCACGATAGTCTCCGCATGGTCGCCAGTCCCCGTACGGCCTTTTAGGAACCATGTAGAGAGCAGATGGACCGTGGGCTACCGGAATGTCGAATGATTCCTAGACGTAGCATGTGTTCGAAATCGGCCTTGACGGTAGCCGTCGAGGTCGGGTAGTGACCGGATATCTTTTCGTGACAATATGGGGCATGATCTCGTGTTTAGGGTCTGGGAATTCGCTGGAGTGCTGGTGAAGTATAGGAAACTGGCGGAGCAAGTCAGTGAACACGTTGTCAAGACGTAGTGCCAGTCGAAGACCGATCGAGCTGATCGAAGTGACCCTGGC